GTATTATTATATATTTATTATTGTTCATGAAAAGTACATGTTATTTATGTATGCAACAAGATCGATTTGATGTTCATTATTTATTCAGTTCAATTCCTTGTAACATGAATGTTTCCAGCTCAATTTGATAAAATAAATTATTAAAAATTTTGAAAATTTGTTTACATATGAAATTAGATGTTCAGTTTTCGATGCGTATAATACTATTACTCAATAGTCAAATACCAAGTCACATTCGATTGGTCATATTTTGAACTACCACGTATCACTTAATATGGCTGAAGTTTTCAATTATCAATACATTATATTAAATTTACGCTTTACGCATTGTATAAATAATACATATTTAACAAAATAACTTGCAATAAAATTGTAAAATTAATAGTTTGTTTGGAAACACTTTTTAAATGGACTTTTCGATGAACAAGTCTATTTGGATAACTGTTTATGTTTGATGCTAAATTAAGAATGGACTTATGGATAAATTGTTTTTCAAAAAAATCCATTATATAGAAGTAAATGATGAAGAAGACTTTTGGAGAAGTGCATTTTGAATAATCCATATCTTAAATGAACTTTTTTGATAAGTACTCCCAAACAAGTACTAAAATTTTTTGAAAAACAATTTTATGCTTATCAATACTCATAATTACATATATTATCTTTAACTAATTGAGTATAGAGCTATAAATGACGTAATTAACACGTGAGCCTGGCCCGATTCTTCAAGGATTGAGTTTAGCTCGACCCATTTAATAAAGGGAGATAAGGTTTGAAAAAAAAATACAATTCTTTATAGTTCAACTTGTCAATGTTCAGTTTTGGTTCATCGAAATTCAAGCTCAATTTATAATAAAAAAGGCTGAACTTGATTAATAAGGCTGAACTCAATCATTTTGAAAAATTACTGTATGATTAGTTGTTAGTGAATATATTAAAATAATATTTAAATAAAATGATTAAAGTTGATTTGATGTAAAATAGGAGAAAAATGATTGAGACTGAGGGTTAGTTAAAATTATATGAGTGAATAGATAGTGAATTAAAATTGATGTAATGTGTAAGAATGATTGATTGATATTATTTAGTTATATTCATAATATTGAGGATAATGAGGTTGGATTAGTTGAATCTATAAATAATCACTATTTAACTTAATTTATTTCACTCGTTAAGTATATTTAGTAGCATTAATAAGATATCTATATTGCTGGATAGTGTATCCGTGTATGGGCTTCAGTTTGACTTTGATACAGTGAAAAAGATTATGTAAACCATGATACCAAATAAGGCCCCCGCGGAAAGGAGCTGATATGTAAAAATTGCGCAAATCAAACGCTTCATTTGAATTTTCTTCGCGATGCTTCGGGACCAAGTCGTCCTCCTCCTCCTCACAGCCGCCTTGCTCGGCCCGACCCAGATCCGACCAGTGAGCTCGCACGAGGAGGTTGGTGAATGGCACTGCGATTCGGACTCGGAGATCCGAGTCCAGGCCGACTTCCGACCCGGGATCATCACTGTCGACGGGAAGGTGGACGACTGGGATGGCGTCGACGGATCTGATTTCTCGCTGCTGCCCGCCCTAGACCCAGACGCCGACAAGGAGTACGATGCCGGAAAAATGACACTGAAGGTATGAGATTGAATTGCGGCTGTTTATTTTTGTGTTTGGAATAATCAGTATGTGTGTTTGATTGAGTGGTTTTTGCTGAAATCATTACTAGGCAGTGCACGATGGGAAGGAAGCGTACTTCATGTTGCAAGTTAATGGAAACTATGCTTATACTCAAGGGTACGGTTTCCTTAATTTTGGATAGCTATGTTGAGCTGACTGGATATGGTCAAGTTTTGTGTGTTTGTGTGTGCGCGTCTTGTGTTTGTTATTTTTGGGGTTTTGTAAGGTTTTGGATTGTTTGATGCAAGGAGAATGTTGTTGGAGTTAAGTGGTTAACTTATGTTTATGGTTCTGTTACTGCTCTTGTGATAATATTGTATTTGGTAGCATTAGTTTGTGGATACCGTTTGAGGGGGTTAACGAGCTTATAGGAATGTATTTTTTTGGATCGTTTGAGGCAAGGAGAATGTTGTTGGAGTTGAGTAGTTAACTTATGTTTATGGTTCTGTTACTACTCTTGTGATAATACTGTATTTTGTAGTATTAGTTTGTGAATGCCGTTTGAGGGATGATGAGATTAAGCTTATAGAAATATATGTGGCTAATTTCTTCCTTAATTTTGATGATGATTATGATGTGTGGTTTATAGAGGGTTTGTTCCTGTTGTTCCCCCGGCATGCTTAGTTCTCGTTGTTGGGAATTCATTGGTTATTTTGGAGGCGTTGTGACTTTGGAACTGGCTGTCTTTTCTGGATCTTCTAACTGGTAATGTATCTGTGAGAAAGAATGTTATGCTTTATCGGTTTTCTTTTCTATCTTCTGCAGAGACAGTAGCAAATGTGCATCTGTTGCTCTAATGTTTCAAATTGGTGAAAGTGCAACATACCACAGAGTAAGTCAATAGTAACTTCTCAACCACTTTTGCATCTTTTGTGGCCTTACGATGTAGTATTTATTTCATTGCTAATCAAATATACTGAAGATAATTCTTTGAACTATAAGATGGGTGGCTGTGAAGAAGGGCCAGACTCTTGCACGAACAAGACTTGCAAGGGGCATGAAGTTGACATTATGCACTTCTCGATAGGCAACGCCATTCCTGGACGGCTCTATGGTGGAAATTTAGTTGACAACAGAGAAGGATATGGAGGTGACAGGTGCTAGTTTGACGCGATATTCTTCATTGTGGTAGATCTTCGATTATTTAGTTGATTAATTCTAACATTTTCACTGTGTTATTCGCCGGCAAACAGGTTTGGCCATTTGGTAGACGTGTATTCGTGGAATCCACATTGCAGATACCTTGATGGCATTAGCCCTTCAGGTATGTTCTTAAATTTTGCTTTGTGGCTGAAGTTTTTAGGGTTGCATGTTGAACTGCATATACCCTTGTTGACCTTAAACTGAACATTTGAGTTCTATTCTTTTGGTAACTCTTTCTTTTTTTAAAAAAAAAAATATCTAGTGAGTTTAACATGAATAGACTTAACAGTGTCTTTGGAAGCACACTCTCAAAAAGAATATCTATTCAGTTGTCGACAGAAACATTCTGTCTTACTTAGGTTCTTCCTCTTTTTCCAATTTTCTTTCTTTCCTTTACTGAAAAGGTTCTTGAAGGGATCAGTTTAACCACAGTGTCTTATATATTGATCATCTTATGAGTCATGAGCAGTACTTTAGCAGTTATGCTCTCATAATTACCTTTCTCTGATGGTTTTTATTCTCTTAAATTAGGAAACGACACCAGTGCACAAAATGACTGGCAAGGATCATGGTGGCACAGCAGCCTAACTGACCACACTGGTAAGCTTATTAAATAAATGTTCGTCTTCTCTATTTTGGTGTTTCCTGTGACATAATTTCTACAATTCTTGTTGAATATTGAGGTTCCTTAACTCAACTTGTGCTTAAGCAGATGAATTTTCTGTACTTGACCGTGATGATAAAATCATCCAAGCATTATTTGGTGTTATACTGGGATACTATAAGGATATATAATACTGGTCATCTGTTATCATTGTATATCTTCCTTTATGGCTTTGGCTTTGTGATGTGCCTATTAGGAATTGTTGCTAGTTGCTACTGTTAGTTATGACCGTGAATGGATTGTGCTTGGAGTTTAGAATATTAAGTGTATTTTCTCGTAATATTCACTGTATCAGGTTTCTTAGAGGTTGACAGTCCGTACTCAACAGAAGGTCAAAAGGGAACATACTATTTTGAATTTTCAAGGCCTCTGAGAACCATGGATCGTTTGCAACAGGTAACCTTGATACAGAATCACGTCAAAACTTAAACAGAAGAATTTACCACTCACTTACTGTGGAGATTATGCTCTGTGAATTTTACAGCCCTTATTTATTTTTGTCCATGGCAACTTTAAACAAAATGGCTGCCGATTGTCTTTTGTAAATAGACTTTCGAATATCTGAACTCTGGAATGGGTAAATAAGGGTTATTTTCTTAACGATCATGTTCAAGCTTTAACTGTATGGGTAATTTGGCGAAAATAGGATGCTCAGTACACAATCGGTAAATCAAACAAGTTTTCGGCTGCATTCTGGTACCCCATGGATGGCAAACCATGGCATGGTTCTGCACATTATTCGATCAGCTGTGATTGGATTCCTCTTGATTTCATACCGGGCCAATCGGAGCCCACCAAGGTAGCAGCCCAACAGAGCTCATGGGATGCTGCAAGTGCCCTTTCCCTTTTCTTTTCTGTAGTGGCTTTGTGTATGTCCGTTTTTATCGGTCATCGGATGTCAAAGACCAGCAGAACAGCAAACTTCATACCGATGGAAAATCTTTAGGCGCTGTTTGGTTATTTGCACTTTCACACAATCACACGAGCATGTGCTTCGAACATAGACATTCTTTTTCCTTTTTCCTTTTTCCTTTTCTGTAGGCTTTGTCTCTTTAGCATAGGTATTGTTTCTTGATTGATATCAAAGTTTGTTTTGTAGTGACGTTTGTGGTCGTGATTGTTTAATGATCATTGTTTTGGAAATGTACTAACTTACCTTCTTTTTTCTCTTGGTCAATGGGGTGCGATTTCTGGACAATGCAAAATCTTTAATTTTGTATATATTTCTTCTACTGTAGTGATAGTGAATCGCTTGCTCATCAATGTCGAGGAATTTGTTTAACTGATAAATTTTTGCACCGTTGGAGGTGGATTTATGTCTATTGCAAATGAAGCTGGAAGAGTCATTGTTGACAATTCTCCTGGCAGAGTGCTAATAATGGACTATTTCAAATGGCTGGGTAAGGTTTGCGTACAACTGACCCCTCAGACTCTAACCTGTTGGGAATATACTGGTCATGTTGTTGTTGTTGTGGAGGTAGATTTAGGATTTAGCCAAAAAGTCAACTTAAAGGAAAAGGGTGCAAATTTATTTTTTTCATACTCTATTTTCGATGACGGTCAATTTTGCAATCGTTAATTTAGAAACTGTACCTAAATAAGTTGTCCAAGGATATTTTTAGCATTCAACGAACTCATCGAAAGGCGCATGTGTGCCTAGTTAACCACTTTAGATATCACCGAATTAATACCATTGCTTCCTAACCTTTTTTTTTTTTTTTTTTGATGCACTTATTGCTTCCTAACCTTAATGCCTAAGCTGAGTACGTTTAATTTTGGAGTCGGAAAGTCAATTTTGTAGTCTGGTTCGCTGCATTAGAATCTCAAGTCAAACACGTTTAATTTTGAAACTTTTACAATTTTTCAAAAAACGGAGTAGGGATATCAATTTCGTAGCCTGGTTCACTGCTTTAGGTATCAGTACCATGGTTTTCAACCTAAACGTCCAAGTCAAGCACGTTGAAGTTTGTAGTTTTTACGAGCTGGATATCTTTTAGAAAAACTTGTGTTGGTACAATAATGACTACCATCGTTTAAATGGTGGTCCCGAGTCGTTACAAAAATTCCTACAATACAACAATTCAATAATTAGATTAAATTAAATATGTATAAGTACAATAAATGGATTATCTTAAGGCTAAAAACTAGTCACTCCATTATTTTCTCAAATTCCCTTTTTTTTTTTATTCTCTTTTAGTTGCTTCTGGTTTGTTTAAACCCGTGTTGGCTATCATCATATCAACCTTTTNNNAATATTGTGAGGACTAAATAAAATCGTCGTTTTATGATAAATGGCCCTTTTTTTAACACGATTCAATTCTAAAGAAAAAGGAGACTGAGAAGAAAAAAGTGGACTCCATACGACGTCGTGGAAGGTATCGTTACTTCTGGGATTCGAATTTGTTTTCCTCAAATCCCAATATATTTTTCTCTCAACTTCAATTTCTACGCAGTAAAAAGCAAAATTTGAGCCACTATTCAACACTCCAACCATTATTTTATTGAGGAAACAATTTATCGATGCTTGCCCTAGCATAGATCAGCAATTCACGATCAGGTATTTGTTCGATTTTGATTTTTATGTTCTTAATCCCTTTTATTTTCTGATAACTGTTTCCTGCCCCATTGATTTTAGCTTTGTAATATTCCGATGCGTCGTTTACTTATGCGATTCTTGTATCGAGATTCAGAATCGGTTTGAGGATTTTCAGAGTTTTGAATCTGATGGGTTTCTAGTGTGGATGTGTTGGATTTGAGGTTCTGCTGCCTGATTTTCTTTTGCAGAACTGAAGATTTGAAGTTTGTGGCAGAACATCATGGCGAGGATCAAACCTCAAGCTCTCTTACAACAGAGTAAAAAAAAGAAGGGACCGAGTCGAATCAGTTTCGTTACGATTGGGATCTACGGTCTGATTGTTGTTGTCATGGTGTTTTTCCTTTTTGCTTCATACAGACACTGGAATAGAAGGTGTGTTCCTTTTTACCTGTAATATGGTTTTCATGTTATGGCTTACATTAGTTATGGTTATTTTTACATGCCAAGTTATATTCTTTGTGAGCTATTTATGCAATTTCACGAGGGGATTGGGAGTATAAAGAGAAAAAATAAATATTGCGAACTATGTTCATCTATGGTGATTTTAGTGGCATTCGATTGAGAGTTAAAACAAATTGTTCACTTGGATTGGATGTCTTAAATTTTCTAATTTTTTTATTCTTTTTTTTTTTGTTGAAATATTTGTAGGAGCTGCGATCGGACAGGTAGTTAGACGATTCATTGTGATAGATATATGCATATTTTATATTCTTTATGCTAAAATAAGTTGTGAAATGGTAATTAGGGTGTTCATAACCTTCATTTTTGTATCTTGTTCAGGTCAAATTTTCAGACAGGTGATATGATATCGAGTGTAGAGGTACTACTTAAAAATTGTAGTTATTTTCTTACAGATACGTACTTGTATTATCAATTCTCTACCAAATGGAAGTTCTTTGTTGTGTTACCAATTATATTAAATTATATTTTTCGATATCCTCTGTTTCTAAGCTTGTAGCAATATTCATCCTCGATTCTAGGCACCAGCTATGACATTATTTCCATTTTTGACGTCAATTTTCTCATACATATTTGCAGCATGATAGTTTACGTGTTGACTCGAAGAAAGCTGAAATTCCCAAGTATGCTGTAAGTTCTCTTGATGTTAGAATTTACTAATGGATCATGACTGTCTACTAGATTCAGTTTTGTAATAATAAATTTACCGAATAGAATGTAATTGTGCAATAGAGCAACAATTGCATCAGTAGAAACGAATCTCAGCGTTTATCCCTGTTTTTCTCCTTATATTTTTTACTCTAGCTTTTAATTTACTGACTTGCTGTTCTGATGCAATTTGCCTTGATGATATTTAACCAACTATTTCTGTTAGTGCTACAGTCTGTTGCTCATAATTTTGTTTTTCGGGATTTTGTTGATGCTCTTGGTGTGATTGGTATCATCCTTCATTAGCCAGTCCTACTGGCGTTTCTTTATTTCAGGAATGTGTTAAAACTCATTATATGTTGAACAGGTGATAAACACATCAAAAGGCTCAATAACCGTGGAACTTTACAAGGAAGGTTCTCCAGAAGTTGTTAATGAATTTGTTGAGTCATGGTATGCACTATTCTGTATATTTTCTACAAATAAGTTGCTCTATCATCTCTGAGAATTACAAGAAAGACATTATCCTGCGTCAATTAGATTCCTTTTCTTAAAAATGTAATTTTCAGTCAGAAGGGGCGATTCAAAGGAATGCTTTTTAACCGTGTAATAAAGAACTTTGTTATCCAAGGAGGTGATGTCAATAAACCCGAAAGTACAGAAGATTGGACCTCGAGGGGAAAGCATTATAACCAACTTGATACAAGGTCTGCTTTATTGTTTTGCTTCTCTCCTAATTTATATACTTCTTTCTAGTCAACTTCATCTACTAACCATATCAAATGATTATATTATTCTTATTATCTTTATTTTACTTGTATTAGCCTGAAGCATGAAGCCTTTATGCTGGGTACCTCCAAGACGAAATATGATGGTGGAGGGTTCGATCTTTTTATCACCACAGCACCAATCCCGGATCTAAATGAAAAGATTAACGTATTTGGACGTGTTATTAAGGGTGAAGATGTTGTTCAGGTATTATTTTGCGTGCTTCGAACGCCATCTATTTAAATTTCACTAAATTGGTGAGGATGATTAACCCACTGCAGTTTCAGAACCTTGAATAACTCCCAATGTTTCAAAGTTGCAAACACAACTGAAATTCTCCAGTTCAACTATTGGATTGAGCCTTGAATAACCTGTGTTGTTCTTTGATTTTTAATTTTCCAATGTTTCAAATTTTATATTTTGCTGCAAATTCACCCGAATTCTCCAGTTCAACAATTGAGTTGTATTGTGGTGTGGATCTCAGGAAATTGAAGAGGCTGACACAGACGAACATTACCGGCCTAAAGCCCCCATAGGAATAGAAGAAGTGATCTTAAAACAGAAGCTCTGATCAGTTCTATGTGCTCCCTTTTAGCATCTCACTTAACAGAATGTAATCATTGTCTCCTTTACGACTGAGCTATTCATGTCCACACCTCTGCAGAAGCTTATTTCTCTAAACTGTAGCAGCTTTATTTTTAACTCATTTTGTATTTTTACTTTCTTTCTACTGTTATCTGTACACACATTATTGACTCAGAAACAAGTCGTGTACTAAATTTTTGTCTATCTTGTCCATTTTATTGACTTCTTCCTTTTTGATTTTAGTATGTTGAATNAATAATGTCATCAGTTAAAAGCTTAAAATACAAACTCTATCCGACTCTTGAGGGATAGTAGCAACTTAGGAAAATTTTGCAATTTTACCTGCAAATGAAATTAAAACATTCAATAACCAAAAGGCCCTACCAACAAGATTAATACTCAAAATTTTACCGGCAAACGAAATTAAAACATTCAATAACCAAAAGGCCCTACCAACAAGATTAATACTTAAAAGATAACTCGAAAATCCAAGAATCAGTCTTGTTGTCCTTCCCAATATCAACACTACAAACGAAAAATCGAAAAGGGAATCATCCTTCTTACACACTTTCAAGCAAGCGTTTGAGCTCACTGCTAATCTGAACCCCATCCCCTTCAATCCTCTCACGCATACCGGGCAATATTTTCCCAGCCGCAACATAAATCTTGAGTAACGACACGTAAAATTTGTGATCAACACAGTTTATCCTCTTCATGCACTCATATAAATCTTCAATGCCACCCACATCACTCTCCTGCTCAAGCAATTCGAGAAATTTCTCCACCGTTTCTTGCTTAGGATACCACTCTTTCTCCCGAACTTTCAACATGACAGTTTTCATTATCTCCAAACCCTTCCTCACCTGATTTTTATTCAGAAAATAAACAACAAACATCTCCCATGTTCTAAAAAACGGACCTTCCGTTTTCCCAATCGCATTCGCGAGCACAGTCTCAGCCTCTTCAATCATATCGTGATCCAATAAAGCCCCAATTGCCGTATTCGGCAGCCTAATATCAAAAGTCAGGCAAGTAGACTCCCACTCCTCGTAACATTTCTTCACGCCACACACATCTTTCAGATTCCTAAGAGCATTAAGCATCATGAGATAGCTCTTGTTAGTCACCACATTCATCTTCGACTTCAAATCCTTCCAAACACGATGAACATTGTGAAGATCGTGAATTCCCGCATACAAGCTTATCAAGAAATGATACGCCTCCCGATCGTTTGGCCCCATTACCTTCTCGAGATTTCTCAGCGCCAGCTCAGCTTTCTCCAGGTACCCGCCTTTAGTGTACAGAATAGCCAAGTTACTGTAACTTGTCCAATTACACTGCTTTTCATTCTTCTGCATCATCTCGTCAAAAACTCGCTCGACACTCTCGAAATCGTCCATGGAAGAGTACGCGTTCATGATTAGGTTGTAAGTGAACGTGTCGGGCTGAATATTATTATTTTTCAATTCTTCACCAAGAGAGACTGCCTTTTCGGGTTGCCCTAATTTTATGTACAGAGACATGAGATTGTTGTACGGAAGAGGTCGGATTATCATTTTTCCACTTTGCATTGTTGAAAACACTTCGAGCGCCTTTTCGGTCATTTTGTGTTCACAGTAGCTGTTTAGGAGAGCGCCGTAAGTACAGTGGACCCGAGCAGATGGCGGAAGACCGTTGAAAAAATTCTCGGCTGCGGTTATGCCTTTGGCTTTTGCAATTAGGTCCAATCGTACGGCGTGGTCTTTGTTCCCGAAGGTGAATTTTCGACTTTCCATCCATTCCATTATCTGGATGATTTAGTTTAAGACAGTAAAATCCAAAGAGAAAGGGAAAAAGGTAGACCATCAATGATCATTCATTCAGGCTAAAATATAGACTCTGTTCAGTTTTTTCGGTAATATGATGAATCAGTCCAAAACCAGATTGATAGATGAACAGACAATTGCACATATGTAAACACCAAAGTTTAACCACCTAAAAGTAAATTGGTAAGAAACTGAGGGAAATTTGGAAAAAAAAAATCCCATTTTTGGTGTTAGTGTGTTTGAAAAATTGCCATCCTTGTCTTTCACAACTGAATCCAAATCACTGATACCAAGAGAGGGATTTTTACACACACACACGAAAAAAACTTATGTTCACGTTGTCCAAGAGATGCGACTCTTAGATTACTACTATGAAATGAGATCTAACAACTAAGGTTTAAAGTCTTGATCTAGCAAATAAAAACTATGAATATATAACTTAGCATCAGGCTGGTTTCGCAAATCCAGAAACCGTGGCAATTTTTATCACGCTTTGGTAACGGAAAATAATGTTTGGATCAGAAAATAAATGATATAAATCATCAACACCAAAGTTTAGCCACTTAAAAGTAAATTGGTAAGAAAATGAAGGAAATTTGAAGAACCCCAACTTGAAAATTCCATTTTTGGTGTTTGCGTGTTTGACAAAACGTCATCCTTGCGCTTTGTGTTTTGCAAATCGAGAAAGCCATTGCAATTTTTAGAACAACCTTTTAGTAACCTAAAATTTAATCGGAATATTAAAGAAAATATCACCAGGCACACAAACACACAGATACATGGATCAGAATTACACGCGATTTCAACATAAAGATTTAATCACCAAGCACAAAAACACACAGATAAATGGATCAAAATTACACGCGATTTCAACCTAAAAATTTAATCACCAAGCACACACATACACAGATAAATGGATCAAAATTACACCTCGAGAGCGTGGCCGTATCTTTTGTATTTGCGGAGCTCCCTAAGGCAAGCGTCGAGCTGGAACTTTCCGGCAGGTCGTCCCTCTCTAATGTACTCATTTATGGTGCTCGCGACAGTACCTTTCTTGTTCCCCAGTGCAGATAATCTCCGGTACAAACGGTCCTCGGGCGGCCCAGCCTCCGTCGTTGCTTTAGTCGCCGTGGATAGGGCTCGAGCGGACGCCGAAGCTCCGGCGAGGAATCGACGGCTGGGGTTCATCAACATCGGTTACTCGGTCTTCGCTGATGTTATTTCGAATAACAGGGTTTAGTGGTTAGGGTTTTGGCCGGCTATTAAAAAACATTTGGAATGAAGTTTGCTTTTTCCTAAAGGTACTGATCCCGCTATCGTCTTTCAAGCGAGACTGGATAAGGAACTTATATTAATTGATCAGAGTCTTTGTACAAGATTCTTAAGCCAAGAAGGAAAAGCGTCCACCTTCCAAAAGAATAAGGAGCTAAAAAAAGAAGCAAAAGACGCAATAGCATGAACAACTTTGTTTGTCGATTGACGCATGTGACAGAGTTGTCGTCTAGATTCTGGAGTTTCCGACAATAAATCACGGATATCATTGGCCCATGAACAAGTGTAGCCGCATGACTCATTGTTGTCGGCAACTGCTTGTACCGCCAATAGTGAGTCCGAGAAAGTCCGAGTTGAATTTTAAGAGAAAATGGCGTTATATTTAATTATTTTCCGCTCAATGGATTGAAAAATGTATAAATATTACAGAAAAGTAGACTAGTATGTTTTGTAAGTACATAAATTCTTTTTAATCAAATAATGGATTTGAGAGCCTTTCTTAAAATGCAGAAGATTACATCGGGGGCGATTGTATATGGATTCTACAGTAAAAAAATCAATCAAAACTCAAATATAACTTAACTCCACTATCTCTAATATTATCATTATAATTAAATAATATCAACCAATCATTCTTATACATCACAACAACTTTAATTCACTATTCATCCACTCACATAATTTTAACTAACCATCACTTCCAATCATTTTCTCCTACTTTTATATCAAATCAACTTTAATTATTTTATTTTAAATATTATTTTAATATATCCTCTAACAACTAATCATACCATATTTTTTCAAACTTAACTATAGTTAAGAAAAATCAGTTTTTTACTAATTGAATTCATAAGTTCGTTTAGTAGCTTTTAAAGTATATTTATTACAACTTTTATTTAAGTTATCTTATCACATTATTTTTTTTTTAAATAGTTTTTTTTTTTTGGAGCAAATAGTTTTTCAGTCATAAACTATCAACTATAAGTATATTTGACAAATCTAGCGAAAAAGATATATAATGTTGATAGTTTACAATTAAATTCTTGAACTTATAGTTGATAGCTTAACGTTGATGGCTGAAAAATTAACTAAATTAACTGATATAGTCAAAATATTTGATAAAATTAGCCGATAAATCAACCAAAGAAATATTTTTTTGTTTTTCAAACTATTTATAGAAACTTATGAAATAAACTCTAGAGCTGAGCTGAATACAAAAGGCTTATAGGTTGCAAATTAGTTTATAGTACTTTTCAAACACAATATAAACTCCAAATTTACTTATAAAATAGTATTAATTAATTATTGAACTATCAATTAACTTTTCAAACTAATTTTATCATTGCCCCCCTACACAAGAATTCTTGTTACTTGAATTAACTGTCAAAATCAAATAGATAAATTAATTTTAATACGAAGAATTAACTGTCAAAATCAAATAGATAAATTAATTTTAATATGCATCCAAAGTTGACCGACTGTAAAGCTGATTTAATAACATTAATACAAGCACTATATTGTGTTTGCTTTATTTACTACTAGTACGTAACCCGTGCGATGCACGGGGTGTAAAATTTAGAAGAATAATATAACTTCACGTGCATTAGAATCGAAATTGAAATCATTAAAATACATAGGAACATTGTTGAATCATAAAAAGTTCGGTAACAATCATATATTATTAAAAACCTCCTTGTACACAACATTATGAGTTTGATTATTTGGTAACTCATTATCACAAACTAATATTTTCAAAAGAGACAAATTCTAAAAATCAAACTAATATTTTTGGTGAACAAACTAATATTTTAGGATTGGTGAACAAACTAATATTTTAGGATTTCTAGGATTTGTCTCTTTTTGGTGAACAAACTAATATTTTAGGATTGGTTATATGAATAAGGCTACCTGTTTTTGGTGTTTTTTTCATTCATTTTTATTCAAACAATCCGATAACTTGTATAATGAAATCCGAATCTTAAGCCGAAATATTTAAAAAATAAGTTTACAAAAATTGAAAATGTCAAGGCAATCAGTTCAGATTAATTAAAGGTCAAAGAATATCCGCTTCTTGAAATAAAAACGTGTGCTATCATTAATCAAATATCATGTTATTAATATAGAGTGGTTACCAAAAAATAGAATGCCATAAGGAGGCTTCATGGAAATATCAATGGGATAAGATCATAACAGATCGCTATACATTCTAACGATAAAAGCTCAGAGGAAATAATTTATGATAATTATGTCGTAATTAATGAATTAATTAGAAGTGTGAAAAAGACATAATTAATGAGAAGTGTGAAAAGGACAAAAACTTACCAGTTTTGGAAAATATTTAATGTAAATCCGAAATTAACCATAATTTGACTTACTATTTTGGATAAATATTAATTCTTATTATATAAGTATATATTTAGCTAAGCAAGTGGGCCTAATTATTTATGGTACAAATACAACCCAAACTTTGTTTCGTTGAATTTATTATATTATATGTTCATTTATTATTATACTCCACGTGTCCCATCCGTTCTTCACGTGATTTACATAAGAAGAAAGAAAGAGTTGAAAAAATTGAAAAAATAAAAAGAGTTGAAAATATTTGGAGCTTGAAGTTGTAGTACGCCCATGGCGATTACCAGTAATCGCCTGCTCATCTCAATTCCATCTCTTCATCGTCCAAAAATCAAGCCTTCAGCTCGATTTTCATGCTTTTCTGCTCGACAAAGCTCAGTAAGCAACATTTCTTCATTTATTATTTCCGTAAATTATATATAAAAAATTGAATAAATAAAAAATCAATTCAGCAGGTAGAAGCAGTAGAGCTGAAATCTTCAAACAAGGAATATTCGCCTGGGCCCATCGATGATATTTTCCTCAACGTATTTCGCAGCAAAATGGCGCAGGTCAATTAATTCTCCCTGATTTTTTTTTTTTTTTTTTTTTTTNGCATATTTTTGTGTGCTTTTCATTAGGTTAAAATTAAAACTAATGATTAGGTTATGGATTTTCAGGAGTCTGGATGGGACTCGGAAAAGTCCGGATACGATGGATTAATCGATATGGCTCATCGGTTAATGGTCGGCCGATCCAATTCCGAAGCTACACAAGTTGCGGTATATCTACTTTTCGTTGTGTTTCGAAACTGTCTTTTGTTCATATGATTAAATTCACTTGTTCCGTATGAGAAGAGTCATCTTTCGCTACGGATATGATTTATGTTAATATTATATTTTTATTGATCGTTCGTGTGATAGATAAGGATATTAAGGGCACTTTTTCCTCCATTGCTGTTGGAACTGTACAAGAAACTAGTTTCGCCTATTGCTGGAGGCAAAGTGGCATCCGAGATGGTTGGTGAGTAACATTGCCATTTTTCTTGTCTTGGTTTTACTTGAACTATGTGCTTTTGATCGAATAGGAGATTTATGAAGTTATCTAACTGATTCGGTGCTTTTGATCATCGTCTTTTGTTTATTTCCCTGTGTTGTTTTGGATTTGGAAGCAAGGGTAACTGCAGTTTCATGCCAGTGGCTCATGGGAACATGTACAGTTAACTCAGTTGATCTGCCTAATGGATCCACATGGTCTAGCGGGGTAAGGAGATAGCTTTAGTGAATGATCTTTTGTACATGTTTTTCGTTATTTTAGGCTGGTTTGTTTACCCTGTGTGAACGATTTCTTGTGTCATTTCTTCGTGGTCTTAGGCTGATTTGTTTGTGTAGGTTTTCGTTGAAAAATGCAAGTACTTGGAGCAAAGCAAATGTGTGGGAGTATGTATCAATACATGCAAGCTCCCTACACAGGTTAAGCAGGGTTTTAACTATGATATAAACAAATGCAGATACACTCTGTTGGTAGTTAAGTGTAGACAAAACACTCACAGATCTTATATAATTTTACTATGTTTTAGGCTTTCTTCAAAGAGGACATGGGAGTTCCTTTGATGATGGAACCCAACTTCACCGATTATAGCTGTCAGGTAACAACAAAGTGCCAAAAAATATTATGATTACAATTTTTCTCTTTTTCTTTCCTTTTTTTTTTTTTTTTTTTTTTTTTTTAANNNAACATTGGCTCATGAAAAAACTATTACACCAGTTCAAATTTGGGGTGCTACCCCCGCAACAAGACGAGGACAGTGCACTCAAAGAGCCTTGCCTTCAAATATGCCCGACCGCCAATAGGCGCAGACAAATTACCTCAACAATAGACGTGTCAAAATGTCCAAAGGCTTGAGACTGAAATGCCAAATGAAAACAGAGAAAAGAATACATTTGTTTTTTTATGACAAAAATGTTAATGTCTCCTCAAATATGTCATATTAGTGGTGGACAAATACAATAGAGAATATTCCAGTCACATAATTTATATTCTTGTCTGCACATTTTGTGGCCAATAAGAAGAAGATTTTTAGTAAAAGGCCATTATACAACAAAATACAATTGCACCAAACGAAACTGAACAAGAACCGAAAAACAGTTTGCTTCCCAGTTCCCACTAACAGACATATCATTCGATCCGTATGTATATTAGCGATCCCAGCCAGAGCGCCTCCTTCTTTCTCTGCCTTTATCACTGCAAGGAGAGGATAAGTTTTAGTTTTTCGACAAGAGGGGACACACAAATTTCAAGAAGAAACATGAAACAATACTGAACAAAACGGCAGAGCACTAGACCTTATCCATTGACAAATATACTAAGTATCTGGAAGTTAAAACCTATTATTATACAAATTGAAAATTGAAATTGTTCGAGAGTGCATACAGAGCTCAATAGACACCTGTGATACCTTAAAAGGGGGTTCTGCCTACTTACAGAAATAACTGAACATTATATATATTATGATTATAGATATTGTAATTTATCTAACCTCATAGGTAGGTAGCTTTTGCAACACTAAAAATACAATAAATAAAGCAAGAGGGGATTCTGAGGGGGAGATTCTCACCTTTCACTAGCTGCTTTTGAAGCGGGAGAATTAGTGTTTGTACTGTTGATTTTTACAGCATGCATATCGCCACCAATAGTCCCACCAGATACAAATCCAGGCAAAGCCATCCTCCTGTTTGCTTGTTGTGCCCCTGTATTGTTCTGCCCAAACTGATTCTGGGAATTAGATGATGCGGGAACAAAGCTGTTCCTGAATTGTGACATCATCCCCGTTTTTAGAGAATTGACGGCTGTCGAGCGAGCAGGTGTAGTGCTTGAAGCAGCATTAGATTCGGGGTTATACCCAATTCCCAAACCAAAGTCCACGCCTCGAACACCTTTACCCCCACCTCCCCTCCCTTTACCTTTTTTCCCACCTGCAACAGTAGAAAAAGATCTCAGAGCTCTCAATCACAATGACAGAGGATCGATATCGGTACAGGTATTTTAAATTCGGTGGTCGTTTGTCAGCACATAAAATAACTCTTACACTGATACTATCAAGGAAGGCCATTGTTTTACCAAATGTCTGAAAACATGATTTTATATACAGTATTACGACGAAATTTGTGAGCTTGCCATACACGATAGAAACTTCATACCTCCTTTCCTTGCATCACGTTTGGATCTGAACCTTCCATCCTAATGATTGAAGAAGTACATGATTGTCACTCAAACACGAAACAGAAGCATTAAATATGCAGACAAGTAGTGCACAATTTTTCGTCATCATGGAGAGAATCAGATTTGCAACTCCAAATTTTCACTCATGTTTGAAAGTGTGAAGTAGGACGGAATAACAGTAAGATATGTATGTAGAAGAGCAAAAGGATGGGATAAAAAAAAACGTGCTTTTATTGAGATATTTTTCATATTGGTCCTATGTGTACTATCTCCTACAGTTTTTCTAACTGTATAAGCCATGCAATGGCATGGTAGAAGTATAAGCAGCTATTGCCAGTTCAAAAAAAAAAAGTTTCTGAATTCTTTTGGTAATTATCCTTGAACATAATGACTGCAGCAAAAGACCATCCTCCAGAAGTTGTGGAGAGAAAACAGGAGAAGTTGAATTTACATTTTGTAGCATGATATAAATTAATAAATGAACACAGAAATACACGCAGCAGGACTGAAAATGCATATGATTGAGCAATTTTAACCGCTAACTAGTCATATATCATTCATAAAAACATTAAAATTTTAAAAACATAAAAGAAAAGATGTATAATTTGTGTGCGGCCACGAAAAATTATCAGCATCAGAAAAAAAACAAAAAGCAAACCCATGTTACCTTCATAGCAAGATCCATAAGCTCCGCAGGCACATTTTGACCAGCAGTAATCAGACTGTTAACTAGTTCACCAGCAAATCTTGCCTCCTTTTGTGTTATGAGAGTGTACGCAGTTCCATCTTTGTCACCCGCACGCCCCGTCCTACCAATTCGGTGCACGTGCATGTCCATGTCTTTAGCTGTATCAAAGTTCACCACAGATTTAATTGACTTAATGTCAAGACCACGAGCAGCAACATCAGTTGCAATAAGGACATGGAATGTCCCAGATTTGAACTTCTGCAAAATCTCCATGCGCGAAGCCTGGTCTTTGTCACCGTGAAGTGCCGCAACTTTGAAACCTTTCTGCGCCAGTTGTGATTCAACTTCATCCACTGTGGCCTTTTTTGATGCAAAAACAAGAACATCCCCTTCATCAATCAATCCAGGAATCTTTTCGAGCAGCCACGGCAACTTTTCGGCATCTGATGGAATTACCTGAACAACTTGGGTAATGTCCTCATTGGCCATACCCACCTGTCCCACAGTCACTCTTACAGGATCAGAAAGGATCTCCCTAGCAAGCTTTTCAACTTTACGAGGCATGGTAGCTGAAAAGAGTAACGTCTGGCGGTCCGGCCTTATTTGACCAACAATAGACCTTATCTGTGGCTCAAAACCAAGGTCAAACATTCTATCTGCCTCATCAAGTACTAAATAAGTTGCCCTCAACATTGTCAGTGCCTTCATTTTTATCATGTCTATCAATCTCCCTGGAGTAGCCACAACAACCTCACATCCTGCCTTTAGTTCCTTGAATTGATCAAGCTTAGACATTCCACCATAAACTGCAGAGACACGGATACCATGAGCTTTAGAGAATTTCTTAGCTTCCAAATATATTTGATGAGCTAATTCCCTGGTAGGAGCACATATCACACCAATAGGACCTTCTTCCTTCTGAAGTTCAGGTTGATCCATAATATGAGTAATCATAGGTAGGACGAAAGAAGCAGTCTTTCCTGAACCAGTTTTTGCTATTCCAATTACGTCTCTTCCAGAGAGAACAATAGGTAAAGCCTGGCACTGTATTGGTGTGGGTTTCTCATACGCTTGTTTTCCTATGGCTTTCATTAACTCAGTGGAAAATCCACAATCTTCAAAATTCTTAATCGGACGTGGAACATCAAATCCTGAAACACGAATGGCTAGGCTGTTCCTGTACTCAGAGACATCCTGTTCGCTCATACCTGAGAAAAATAACAGGTCAAATGCTTCCACACAACAAATACAGACCCAGGAAAGCTCCAAATGTTAGTTGTCAAAAATACCATAAACTCAAGTTACTCAACCCCTACCACCAAAAGAAAAATGGAACATAAAATACTTCAAGTACCTGAAATGGAAGGGTTCTCCTCATAGAAATCCTTACTAAACGGTTCGTAGTCAATCAAACTATGATCGAGTGCAGCAATCGGCTCGATTTTCTTCTTATCAAGAACAATAGGGTTGTCATCAGAATCATACTCAACCATCCCAGCATCCACCGCCTTTGCCGCCGCATAAACCTCTTCGTCAGAATTGTACCCAGCCTGCAAAGCATCTGCGGCCAACTGCAGACCCACGTCCTTCTTTGCCTTCATAAAAATCTCCAACGGATCATCTTCCACGTCATCCTTGTACTTGTCCAGCTTATCCTTCGCCTTCGGCGGCGCCGCTGCCTTTATCTCTTCCTGTAATCCCTCCATGAACGCGTCCAGAGGATCGATTTCGTCTTCATCGGCAGCAGCATCGGTGCCGTCGGCAGGCAGGACATCATTCGAAGTGTCTCGATCGTCGGCATACTCGATATTGTCGAGGTCGGCGTCGTCGTCGCCACCGCCGCGAGAGGAAGGAGGGACGTATAAGCGTTGAGGCGGTTGAGATCGCTCGAAATTGTATGTTGGCTGGCGATTGATACCAAAGCCTTCGAATCCGAATTTTCGCTTCGACATCTTGCGCGAATGCTAAACCCTACAAATGCAATTTTGGGGATCTTTTACGATATAAAGACTTAAGGGCATCATTGTTTATGAAATAATTTGCTCAAAATGAATTATTTTTATTAACTAGAGTTAAATTTGAAAAAGTGGTAGGTGAGATTTTAATAATATATTAAAATTTTATTTAAAATAAAATAATTATTATTGTTTTGATATAAAAATAAGAGATAAATTATTAGAAATGATTAAAAATGATAAGTAATTAAAATTACGTGAGTGAATGAATAGTGAATTAAAGTTGATGTGATATATAAGAATGATTGGTTTATAATACTATTAAGGATAGTGGAATTAAGTTAAAGTTGAGCTAGATTTTTAGTATGAAATAAATGTGAGCAAATTATTTCATAAACAGGCATGCCCTTAAGGTCGGTGGTAACCGGTAACTGGTAAGTGTTGTGGGAGTAAAAGGGGCGGTATTTAGGACAGTTTTGCTATAAAGCCATCGGACGACTCGACTTATGCAGTCATACACATTTTTTCTCAAATAGTGTATTGATACGTGTCCTACAATAAATATAATTTGGACAGGTGTCAATATATTAAGTGGTGAATGGCTCCATAAAAAAACTATCCGATGACTCCATAGAATTTCTGGTATTATGTGTGCAGAATTTTCAAAAAAAATTCAACATTTAACTCATCCACTTTTTTTAACTCAATCTACTATCATCAATATTATCAATATAATTAAATAATATCAATCAATCATTCATGCACACTACACCAACTTTAATTCAATATTCATCCACTTATATTATTTTAATTAATCATTACTTCAAATCATTTCTCTCTTACTTTTACATCAAATCAATTTTAATTATATTAGTTTAGTATACCCACTAACAACTATCTATACCACATTTTTCAAAATTAACCAAACAAAATAAAAAAATCCAACAAAACAAAAAATTTAGAGCATGTTTGTTTATGGAATTTTTAAAAAAATTTCAACATTTTAACTCAACTACTTTTTTTCTTTAACTCAACCCCACTATCATTAAAATTATCAATATAATTAAATAAGGGTAAATTACTTTTTGTCATCTGAACTATCACGATTTTTGCGGCTTCCCATATCAACTATTTTTTTTTTTTTTGACANAAAAAGGCTGATTTTTAAAGGCATTTTAAGAAATTCGTATATATAAAAAAAAATTAAAAAAAAAAAAGAAAAGAAAATTAAACAGAACGTCTGCCAACCAACTATCGCGCCTCCCTCTCCATCTGCTGCCAACCATCTAGGTCGGGGTTTTGCCGGTTTTGAAAAGGCTTGCTGAATTTTTTGGTTCTATTGGCTCGAGCGAGAGGGATCACGGACGGGCGCCTAAACACTATTACTGCCCAATCCTTCAGGTGAAAAGAAAATACAAGATTCTTTTATGTATAACTAGAAAATCCTCCCTTTAGGTTTTGACCAAATTACATTTTATACAATGTCATTAAACATTTTATAATTACATCCCCTTAACTTTTCTAGATGTTACTGACTGTTCTCAATTTAAGATTGACATTTTTTTTAATAAATGTGGTGGGTAACTTTAACTATGCCTTTTAATTGCTTGTTCATTTGGACTCGGGATATAATGGATAATCTCTATGTAGCCGCTGATGGTTTCACGTACGAGCATGATGCGATAAAAGCATCGGTCGACACACACAGTGTATCTTCCGTGACGAAACAGAAACTACCACATAAGATGCTAACTCCCAATCTCACAAATCTCACATTTACTGTTTGCATTGTCCTAGTCATGCGATCTACTAACATGGAGACTTCTAATGGAATGAGAGTTGGCAGACAGTGGAGACAATTTCTGTACAAAAAGAAGGGAAAAGCCGTGGCTCAGGTCACCTTCGCTTCATCAGAAAAAGGCCATGTCCATCTACACTCAACAGAACATTCATCAACGCACGGGACGAGCGGGCCTCGTCATTTTTCACGCAGATCGCATGACCACGATCGCAAACCACATCACCACGATCGCATCAACGCACAGGACGAGCGGCCAGGAGCAAATTACGGCCGATGTGGTTTTTGTCATCAGCTTCTGTAATTAGTGACGGAGGCACTGTACATGGGAGCGTGGCAAAATTGTTGGATATAGATTGGGAAGAAGGTGTACAGTAAAAAAAACAATACATGAGCATGAAGGTATTCCAGTTTTTTTTATTTATTTATTATTTTTCCAAAAATATACGAAAGCCCTAAAATGCACTTATGAAATAGCTATTTTTGGACAAAACAACTTTAATCCTGGTTTCATATGGCAAAGTGACAAACTCGCATATTTCAAACGGTGGTTTGTTAAAAAAAATAATTTATATGGTGATGCGCCAAAATCATCATAGTTCGGATGGAAAAAAGTTATTAACCCATTAAATAATATCAATCAATCATTCATACACACCACATCAACCTCAATTCATTATTCATCCACTCTCATTTTTTTAACCAACCATCACTTCAAATCTCTCTCTCTTACTTTTACATCAAATCAATTTTAATTATTTTATTTTAAATATTATTTTAATATACTCACTAACAACTAACCATACTACTTTTTTCAAAATTAACCAAATCAAATCAAAAAATCTAAACAAAACCAAAAATTTTTATAAACAAACATGCTATTAGAATCCAACAAAACAAAAAAAATGTATATCCAAACATGCTTGCAATTCAGTTAAAAAAAGGAATAAAAAATATGAGTGAAGATTGAAACTAGCACGTGCGAAGTACAATGTCCTGCTAAAATAAGCCCGGGGCGCTTGAACTTTATCATGCGCACGTAGTTGCAGCACAAAATCTTTGAAGAGAGGAGGGGAAAAAATAAATGGGAGGAGGTTTTGAAGGAGCTGAGCCAACTCGCCGGGACTTTACTGAGTCGACTAACCGGTCCAAATATCCTCACCCAAATACAAAATGCATACAAAAATTCACACACAGCGTGAAAAAAATGGAGAAGAAATTTGGAGCCTCCTTTACTACTATAGTTACCCATATCAACACCACCACCACCACTTTCTCTCTCCCTCTAGCCCTAACCCAAATATCCATAGTCCAAACGAGGCTAATTATATGCTTCTTCATCTCTCTAGAATACATACGCCTGAGTGTATCTCTTTTTTCATCGATCCCTTTTCGATTGCCCTCCATTCATAACTCCTATTCTCTCATACCACCGTTTATTTCTATCTGTTTCAGGGAAAGGTAAATCCCTTTTATCTGATTTATTCATTTTTTCCTAGATCTGTTGGTGGGTTCTGGTTGGATTTGGGGTTTTTGTGTGAGATTGCTGGTCTGAGTTAGAGGTGACGGCCCAATGTGAGGGGTTTTATTGTTTTGTGTCCTCTGTCTGTTAGGAACGTGTTCGAGTTGGCCCTCTTAGTTTTTGGGGTGGATTGTGTTTAGTCGGGGTTGTTAGTTTTTGTGATTTTGGTATTCCTATCTGATTTGCTTGATGTAAAATTGATAAATTAGTTACCACAGTCGGTGAAGGAATTGAAGTTTGGATTGTCATTTTTCCGTTATTTTATTGTCCTGTTCTTTTCTTAGTCAGAGTTATTTGTTTCCATGTTGAATTGAAGTCTTACATGTTTTGCTGGTATTTTATGGCTTGAAGTATCCCGTGGTATTTGGCAGTATTGTCATCAGTTCTCGGCTAAATGGATGCCATTGTGGTTCACTATTTTAATGTTTTTACGCACCATCAGCGATAGCTGTGAGCCTGTGACATTGGTCTCTATACTACTTTGTGCACTAGAGTCATGTTTTCAAACTCTAGCCTCTCAATTTGTTGTGATTTCCAGATTTAATTGTTATATTAACCACCTCTGTGTCTCCTCGTTGATTTGTGATCTTTCTTTTGCAGATAAATTGGCCGAGGACATAGTTTCATGCCTTAACCAACCCTAATTTAATTTGTACGTGTGAAACTCTACAAGTTTTTGTTGAAAAATGGAGCAGTCCCAGGTTCCTCAATTGGAGGCTGGAGTATCTATTAAAAGAAAGAGGAGTCAAACATCACGCCGGCCTAGACCCGAGGCTCAGCCATCAACTCCAATTTCGGATGACTTGAGTAAGGTCTCAAGTGACGAGTATGATGGTGATGGTAACTCGGGTGGCAAAATGTTTAATCTGAGTCAGTGTGTATCGAGGTCTTTGCCAGCTATTGGGCCGGATAGTGGACCAAATGCTGCTATTCTTGGTAATGGTATTACATGTGACGGATCAGAAAGTCAGAATAAACTGAAAAAAGTTAAATTGAAGGTTGGTGGTGTAACTCGCACGATACAAGCCAAATCCAACGCTAATGGGGCATCGGGCAGTGTGTCCTCGGTAATGTCATATTTTTATGCAGAGTAGTTAAAATTGAGTCTTTTTCTTTTTCAGTCCGAGAAGAAGTGAAAACACTTGAACTAACTTTAATCTTCAAGAAATCCAGTTTGTTTGATGATTACGGGCATTATTAGGTATTTTAGGAATGTATAACAGATTTAACCCTGTGTTGCTGACTGGGATCTTTTTCCTTTTTGGCATATGTATCTTATCATTTCAGGAAAGTCCTGATTACTACCAGTCTCCAACGTCTGATAAGAAAAGAGGGCTGCAAGGTATCCCGTGGAAGGATTTCTCGAAAGGTAATTTCAATATTGGGAATGCCATTGAGAAACAAGGATATAAGTTGGATTCAGTTCGTAAGAGCAAAAGGGTTCCCAAAAGGCGAGTTCTTGATGCGGATTTTGACGATGATGATGATGAGGATGACGAGATCCGGTACCTGGAGAAACTTAAGTCCTCAAAGATGCACAAGGGGGGTAAATACGACAATTTGGAAGATTTCGGGAGGCTCGGCAAGAAACCCAGATCTGGAGACATTGAGTATGAGGAGGAAGAAGATGAACCATCCTCTGATGGTGAAGGAATGAGAAAGAAAAAACTGAAAAAAGATCTTTCGGAGTTCGACACGGAAAACAAGAGAGAAATTGCTCTTACAACTCGTCAAAGAGCCCTTTTAACCAAAGATGCCTCTGCATCTGGTCAAATTGAGTTTCCAAATGGCTTACCACCAGCTGCACCCCGAAGTTAGTAGGAAAACACTTTTTGTCTCATGAATTTTGGATCTCTTTTTTTAGAGTTAATGTGTTCTAACTTATGTT